GAAGTGCGCGCGGGCGCCGGTGTGCGCGCAGGCCCCTTCCTGCCCAGCAGTCGGCTTCTGCCCAGTGACAATGATCGGTACGTGGTGCCTGCCAGGTACAGCCTCTCTGCGCCGCCCTGCGCCCAGCTGCGGCGCCACTCCGGGCCCCGCACGACAGGGACCCCAAGGTGCCCTCCGGTGCCACCTGTCAGTGGCAGGGCGGCAGTGTCAGCGCTGTCCTTAGCCCGCGCCGCCGGCGTCCAGTGCCCGCCGTGGTCCGGCCGAACAAGTGTGTGTGTTGGTCTCAGTCCCCTCCCGCCCCTGGTTTGACAGGCGTCCCGCCGAAGACAGCTCAGCGCGGGGACCCGTGCGCCGCCCTGGGCGTAGGCGGGGTCCGGTCCCGCAGCGAGCGCGCGGCCCCGCCCCGCTCCCCGTCCCTCGGGGCGCCGCGGCCGCTGTCCTCCGGTATAGGACAGCCGGACGCTGTAGTCCACGCCCACGTCGGCGGGACTAGGGGCAACCCCAGCGGAGCCTTGAACTCTGATGCAAGGCGCCTGCCGACGGTGGTTGGGCACAGGAGAGATTCCTTCAGATGGATCTAAACTTCCTGTCACCTCGAATTTTTCCTTTTAAATCTCTCATTGGAGGTCTGAGGTGAAAAAATAAGAGTAAATAATAGCAAGGATTAAAACTTTTTTTGCATAATGAATTAACTATTCATTATGCAAAATTATGATTTTCTGAAACGCAAAATGACTCAGGTGCATGAATGTGAATAAAGCTTTGGAAGTGGCTATTAGAATTGTTTATAGACGCTGTAACGTATAACGTAAGCGAAGTTCCTCTATTCCAGGACAGTTAAACCAAAAGCTATTTTTAGGCGTTTTCTCTGAAAATTAGTGGAAATGCATAGTGTGATTAGAAAACATTGCTTCTCGGTGCCCACCATGATTTGTTTGGGGAGTTTTGGGAGTTTATTTTGACAGAGACTTGTTCTAGAGTGCGTATTGGTTTGGTGAGCTTATTTGGGGATTATTCCTGATGAGCGCCATTTACAAAACATTTGAAAATTGCAGCAAGTACATCTGAAGTCAGGTGCAGTCTATCTAGAAAGATGAGAGATGGATCTTTAAAATGTGTAAGTTTGTATGCACTGATAAGCTCTCCATAAATATTTTATTAAATTAATGTTAAAATATAAAATATTCTACGTATCGGCGGGAGAACCATGCCAGTTAACTGACAGTGTCTTCGCAGCGATGATAAAACCAAAGGATGTGCCATTTTTCTTGTTTTTAGCATGATATGAACTTTAAAAGTTATCAACTTAAGAAAAATGCATAAATTTTTTTGAGTCTTTTGAGTCTTTTTATGTGACAATTACATAAGATCCACTTGTAAACACAAATTTGAACTGAATCAGAAAACCAAGTAGAAATTTTTCAAAATCTATGATGTCAGTATTTTACAGGAAAAAATAGACCTTATTATAAAGATAATTGTGCAAATGTTATTTTAATTCAACTTAATCTAGTGCATGGATAATTTTAAAATAAATTTATGGTAAAGCTGTATAAAGACAGGGACTTAAGATCTAAAATCATCACTTAACTCTAAATTAATATCTAATAAATGATTATGTAACTATTAGGATAAAATATGTTTTGGTAGTTTCATTTAGGTTTTATTTGGGATTTAGGGACACAAGAAGGAAAAGTGTGCCTTCTGGATTTGATGATTAGACAGTTCTCAGTAAATGGCAATGAGATGAAGAATATCAGGTGGATTTTAAAAAGGTTTATTTCTCATACTCCAGCTGTTGTTTTCCATGGTCCAAATAAGTGTGTATTACAACATAAATAATTAAATCCATGCCCCATCCTAAGAAAAATATTTTACATGTAAAAACCATGAAGACAATGTGTAATAAATTATTTTATACAACTAGTTGCATTGCATAAATCTGTCAGTGGGAATATTTTAGTAAAGATCTTAATTGTCAGTTTTGGGCTTGGTTGTGTTGAATAGTGGTAAAGGTTTTAGAATGATGAGATTCCTGCTTTTGTGACTAAACTTTGGAGCCAGGAAAGGCATCACAGTTTATATCCTGTGATAAGCTGGAGACCAAAATACACGTAACTATATATTTGGGATGTTTTTATTGTTTAAAGATGTGTGTGCTACTCAGTACTTGCCCATTTCATGCTTGTGCTCTTTTTAATTGCTATACCCTCTTTAATTCAAATAGTACTCTTCCACTTTATTTAAATCTTGGCTCACTTTTGAGAGGGAAAAAAAAATGGGTTTCCAGGTAGAATAGGAGTAAAGTATTACCTCTCTACCCATAAAATTATCTTCCTTTTACTTTCTTAAAACCAAGATTTTCTTCCTGGCCCTGACTATTCGAAAGCACTTGTATTTCTCACTTGGATAATGATTGATAACGCCGTGACCCAGACAAGGCCAGAAACAATTTAATTAAAGCCAGTGAAAAATTGTGACTTTGTGAGAAGTATGGGGAAGATTTTCAAGATAATATAAAGCAGAATAGAAGAACTTCTAGAAAATTTAGCTTAGAAAAATGTAACTTTTGGCACCTCTATTATAAAGATATTTTACCCTCTTTTAAAATTAGCAATTCTTTGTGGTTAAAATTGAATTTTAGTAGTGATATTTGTGGTATATTCTGAATGTCTTATAGAATTGGATTTAGGTATTTGAGTAGTATCAAATATTAAAGTGTGTGGATATATGTACAACAGTGTTGCCAGTATTGAAATTCAAATTCAACGTCTTATTCTTTAAAAAGATTTTTGATGCATTTAAAAGACACAATAATTAGAACATAGTCTGTTCTGTGCCTTGTTTAACTTAACATCTCTTAGAAAACTTAACGTTTCTGCACGTATAGATCTACCCCATGGTAATTTCTGCCTAGACTTTAATTTATGGATGCACATAAATTATGCAAATACTCTCAAATAAATGAGCACTCAGTAAGTTTACAGACAATTGCTATCATCAAGAATGTTTGTGTCCTTATTTTATTTGCATATGTATAAAGTAAAAACCTTATTAGAATATCTGGATGGGTTTTCTAGAAAAAGAGTTTCTAGCTTTGAATTCTGCAAGGTATTTCCAAATTGCTCTAAAGTCAGTTGCCCAATTTCGCATTCCTGTCTATCACAGCAAAGTAACAAAGAGCTGACCTGTCCCTTTGGGCTGAAAAAACTTGAGAAAGACATTCTCCTCAGAGCACTCGCTGGATTTCTTCTGTCTCCACTACTTCCCTGCCCCCAGGTCAGCGCCTGTGAGCAGTGTGCAAGCTGAGCAGCCGTCCTTGCTGGCCCTGACCTGTCCAACCGTGTTTTAAAAAGTGCCCATTTCCCCCGTGTCCTAGAAAAGACTTTTATTTTTGCCTTCTGATAGATGAAAAACAGTATGTTTTAATTATTAAAATGACTTTAAGGAGGAAAAAAACCCCTCACCTCTCATTTTAGAATGCTTTATTTCCACGAAAGCGGATCCAGTAATTGAGCACCAACTGTGTGCTCAGTACTGCTCCAGGCATCAGGGATACCTGAGTGAAAAGAAAAAAAAAAAAGAGAGAGAAAAGTGTTCTGTTATCATGAATATAATAAAGTCTAACTTTATTATTTGCCCACAAATCTACATACTCGTTTTAAAGCTTGTGTGTGGTGAATTTTGAAGTCTCAGAGTTTATATTTTTAGCCGACTATACTGTGTACTGCCACTTGCCCTGCCCTTTCAATAATTTTAGGTATAAAGAATGACCCCACATCTACAACCCAGAGTAGGCTGTAAAGCTTCTGTTTATGATGAGGTAGAATTGTGTCTACTAAATTTTTACAAAGAAGATTTTGTATAATTATGTACAGTTTTTGGAGTCCAAAGGCTCTAAAATGATGACCTTATGCCCTTTTCAATTTTGGAGCTAGTTCTAAGGATTTTTTTTTTTTTGAAGTTTGCATTTTTTTGAAGCCTTATAGCTTCATTGTTTGAAAATGAAAATACTTTGTATTAAGATACACCAATCCATTTCTACCTCCAAAGCTTCTTTGAAAAATGCAGGAAAAAATCCCCCCAAAACCTATCTCCTTACTTCGAACTGCTTCATATTCATGAAAGCAGTTTCAATGCAGAATACTTTATTCTGTTCGCTTTTAGTTCTTTGATCAATGAAAATTGTTTCTTACCTGCTGTTTTTTCAGCCTTTAATTGTGGCCCAGTGCTTATTCAGTGGTTCTGTTTTAATTTGCATTTAATGAGCTCATTTAAAATGTTTCTTTGTAGTAATCTGAATGGTTTCTCTCTTAAGTTTTGTAATATTAGAGAAAGGGATTTGTGCGGCAGCTGGCCGATTTGTGTTGCAGCTCCCTTTCCTGGTTTATTTACCTCGCCCTGTAGGAGAGAATCTTGGTTAAAAGGAATTGCAGGAATCCAACGATTTCCCCCAGTACTATGTGTCCTAATTATCTAGAACTTCTACCAGGTTATTCAAATATCTGTTTTCACTAAATAGAAAACTTTCTTCTTTGAATTAATAGGTATTTCAATTCACAGTACTGACGTTGGTGCCATTTCTTTCCAAGGTGCTGAATCAGGCAGCGCTGAGCAGGAGGCCCGGGTGGGTGGTGTCTGTGTGTACTGCCTGTGGGGGAGGGACATGGAGAAGTAGAAGGTACACAGAAGTATTTGAGAACTTTCAAAAGTCTTTCGCCAAAAGTCATACCATCCCCGGTGAGTTTGTGATCCAGCTGGACTGAGAAGACA